CAGTACTTTGTATGGCCACCATTGTCACCAATGACTGCTCGGCACCGTCTCGGCAAGGACTTGATAAGTCGATGAAGTCGCTCTTGCGGAATTCTTCCCCACTCTTCCTGCAATGCGATGGCCAGTTGTGGAAATGTCTGACGCGTGTTTTGACGTTGACGTACATGTCGATCGAGTTCAGATCGGGTATAGATGTAGTGCTCGGGAAGGCCATGGCAAGACATTGACTTGAAAATTGGCAAGGTAGCGGACCGTGGTGCGTGCTGTATGTGAAGTAGCGTCGTCATGCTGGAACAACGCCGTCTGTCGGTCCATAATCGGAAGAATGTGACGTGCAAGGACTTCATTGATGTACCGATTTGCTGTCAGATTTCCCTGAATCACCACTAAATCAGATCTTTGTGTGCTGGATATGTCACTCCACACCATGACACTGCCTTCACCGATCATACGGTTTCATCAAGAAGGTCCTTACTCCAAAGGCATCATCTCCCAGAATAAAGCATGACATACGCTCGTCATCTTGGGGTAAGGGGAACGGGTCAGGAAATCCTATGCTCCCGTCTTCAAGACAATCCTTGAGCTCGCATTCGTTGAAGATCTGAGCATCAGACATACTTCCGTAAGCACCAACGTCCACCCACAGGATCTTGTAATTTCCATCCACAAGGGCCATGAGGACCACAGAGAAGAAGCCCTTGTAGTTGTGGCACAATGAGCCGCTCTAGGCAGGTTTCTAATGGCCACATGTTTGCCATCTAAAGCTCCTACGGTATGAGGAATATTCCACCTGTTTTTGAATACCTCTTCAATGAGTGCCCATTCTTCTGGAGTGGTAGGGCAAATGATAACCTCATCCTTGTATTCCTCCATAATGACCTTACATACTTCTGGGATGATCAGGCTGATTGTGTTCCTTGCCACGCGGAAGCTGTACATGATGCTGGGGTAATTATCACCTGAAGCCAGGAACCACAATGTGATGGCTAGCTCCAAGCCTGGAGGTAGCGCCTTTCTCATATGTTATGTTTCCTGTTTCTGTATTCTTGGTTCCACTTTCTTCACCAACTCAACAAACATGGCAGGCTCCATCCTCAGGTAGTTCAAGAAAGACTGCCTGTCCTCAATTCTGACCTCCTCCATCAGTCTTGTGTAATGTCATACAGCCTCTTCCTTTCCTCTGTCAGCCATGGTCTGGTCTGGAATCTCCTGGGTCTTCTCGTGTTTCTTCTCCACATGTCTTTCAATCAGGGCTTCCTGGAGGACAGCAATCTGGAGCAACGCAACGTGGTCAAGGTGGTCCATGGTGGGAGTTGGGCAGTGACTGATGAATAGTCCAGATTCAACAGGTTTTTATACCCCATCGTGGAACATTCCGGCAGCATTCTTGATGCATTCCGGACATTCGTGTAACATTCTCAGTGCATTTGAAGGACATTTGAAATATTCGAGCTGCACTCTGTTTTAATTCTTTAACATTCGATCCATATTCGGGGGTCATTCCAAGAGGGTTCTGAATGCATTCTATGTAAATTCGTACAGCATTCGAGGTACGTTCTAACTGAAATTCGAGTATTATTCACGCAGCAATCGAACCGGACTCGTATGGCAGTCGAAATTCATTTTAAGTATTCTTAGTGCATTATAACGGCATTCTAATTATTCCTACTGTATTCCGATTCATTCGAGCTGCATTCGTGATCTTTGGAATGAGTAGAATCATTCGAGGCGGGTTCGAAGTGCGTTCTAAGTATTCCAACAACATTCTTACAAAGCTCGAAAATATTGTTATTTAGACATTCTCTCCCGAATGCGGTTCGAATTTTGGAAATATAATTTTTCTGGCTTCTCCTTGATTCCTGTCAATTCGAAATAAGTGTGAAGGACCCTTTACAGACCGCCGCCATATATAGCTTGAATATTGCTTGTCGACTAACGGGATCGGGTGGTCAGGCTCGCTGACTTGGTTGACACGTCATCGGTTCCCATTTGCGCAGATCGATGCTCAAGCTGTTGATCACTGGATTGTCTGTTCCAGACTTGATTATTTACAGACCGCCGCCATATATAGCTGGAATATTGCTGAGTGCGGCGTAAACCTAAACTTACTCACACCCCTCTTGTCCCGGCCAAATGGAATGACAAGATTAAACACGTTTGCCTTTTTGTAGTGATCGTTCGATTAAATACAGGAAAACATTAAAAAGAAAACACGTGTGTGCTATAGTCAGGTGATCAGCTTTTGATCTAGCTGGAGGAATAGATTAGTACATCACTTACAATATTCTTATGAGGAGTCACAGCTTACAAATTCACGCATAAGCAAATACCCTATCTTTTAGGACAGTATCAGTTCCCCGGAGTCCCTAGTATGGTGATCTGCCTTCAGTTGTTGGCGACTTATTGCCTGTGTTTATATTGTATCGTCTCGTATAGTTAACATGTTGTAAATTTAATTACTAGTTTTAAAATTATATCTGTGATAAACTAGTTGTTTTACTGTCATTCGTTGACAGCTTTTTATAATTTACCTATAATTATTATAAACATATAGCTTAATATAGTCACGATATGGCTGAAATATATACTGCCGATGTGACTTAAAATTTTAACTCACTCACTCAGTTCCCCGGATTTCACAATATATATGTGTGGATTTCAGGTTTCTAAATCTCAGAAAGTTGTTCTGAAGAAACTCGAGAAAAAATCATGGAATGAAAATTATAGACGTGTTCAACTGATTATGAGGAATGGCGTTTACACACGCATAAATCGTGTTATAGCATCACCTAGCCTTTATAAAAGTTTGCATCTTATTTCGTCCTGCATGGCGACTTGTTCAGTTCTGGCAAATTGGGACATTCAAATGTAGTAGGAAAATAAATAATATTTGTCCGCCTTAACTTTAAATTGAAACCCTGAATTTACTTTATAATTGATGATATTGATGGGACGGTGGGTGTCGGGGCTTGGACTATTTGCATGTCGATGTAAACATAGATATATGGATCATTCCCTTGAAACAATCATGTTTGCTCATTATCCAACGGGGCAGCCATTATATTATCGAGTGAGTGGAGTGAGTCTAGTTTTACGCCGCTTTACCAATATTCCAGCAATGTCATGGCGGGGAAAATAGAAAAGGGGCTCACAAATTTTACCCATGTGGGAATCGCACCCGGGTCTTCGGCGTGACGAGCGAACGCTTTAACCAATAGGCTACCCCACCGCCCACGATTTTTTGAGGAAATGGTTCCAAATATAACATCCATGGACATAAACGGTTTGGCTGGGGAGTGTACCCACACGTTCAGCATTTGTTTATCATATCAAATACTTAAATCGTTATTTCCTATCAAATACTTACATAACTATGCTCTCTGTGGGTCTTTTCTTAGTTTAACCCTGACATGAATTCAATGTAGAGCTATCGATGAAACCTTGGTGACAAATACTCAGCCAACACAGGGAAAGGTGAATCTCCACGCCTTATGTTAGGAATTACATCATTACGTCATTGGCTAACAAGCCACTGCTGGTTTGGTCATATTACCATATCATTGAAATAAATGCTAACTTATGTCAATATGCTAATAATTCATAAACCTATGCTTGAGAATTTTACAAGGATAACAAATGTCAGATAAAACTAAATCTGGCCATACGTGATTTCAAGGTATTTACACCTGTGTCATAAATGAACAAAATTTACAATTATTTCAGCCATAATAAAAACATGAAAGCGATGGCCATATTTACACCCCTTTGTCATATTTGTTCATAGTCTTACAAATGCTGTAATATTGCATGACCTGGGTGCCGTTCCACTAACCGATCTTAGCCCTACGCCAATCGTAAACCCCTGAAATCCCAATCTTAACGTGACGTTACGATCGGCATACCGTTCCACTAACCAATCTTACCTAAGTCAATCGTAAAGTTAAGATTCAAAGTCTAAGTTGCTCTGTGACCAACTTAGGATAGCTAAAATCAATCGTAGAGAAACCAAAATGGTGGCTTTCCTATTCTATGTGAAAAATAAGAGCGAGCATTTCACCGTGAGCGTCCCTAAAGTCCCCCATCAAATGAATTTGTATATTTCTGTGATGTAAACAAACACTGCACTGAAGCCTTACAAATGTCAGGCCAGTCTGACCACTGTCGTCATGGGAACACAACCGAGCGAGTCGGTGTAACACTTTTGTACAACAATATTGCAACGTCATGGTTAAGAATAGGGACAGCCGTGAAGTGAACAATGTTCTGAAGCAAAAAGATACAAATATGCTTGATTTCACTGCGCATATTTGGTAGGGGATTCTAAAGGCAGGCCGCGTGTTATTCAAGACCACTGACAGATTCTACATACGTTATAGCCTCGTCACGCCTTGTTTATTCCGACTGACAAGGTTCAGGCACATATTAAAAGCTCTGACACAATTGACATTTTCAAGTCCAGACTTAAAACCTGTTCTCAGTATATTACTTATAATCTCGGCTGTAAATATTCTCGTGTAAATTATCTGTACACAGCGCTTTGAGCATGCCCAAGGATGTGGAATAGGCGCACTATAAATATGCATTTATTATTATTATATTATGCTTGATACCCAGCGTTCTCACGCACTTGCACCTGAAACCAAGGTGTCCACTACCTAATATTTTGCTCTAGTTTTTTCTCTCCACGTTTACACTTGGTTGGAAAATACCCATGAAGGTCCGGGTAAGAATATTGAACTTCAATAACCCATGCCTGTCGTAAGAGGCCACTAACGGAATCGGGTGGTCAGGCTCGCTGACTTGGTTGACACATGTAATCGGTTCCCAACTGCGCAGATCGATGCGCATGCTGTTGATCACTGGATTGTCTGGTCCAGACTCGATTATTTATAGCTAAGATACATAGCGTTCACTAACATGAACGCTCATGTTAGTGAACGCTATGCATCTTAGCTAGATTATTTACAGACCGCCGCCATATATCTGGACTATTGCTGAGTGCGGCGTAAATCTAAACTCACTCACTCACTCAGTTGGTTCGTAAACTACTTTCTATCATTTGCTAGACTATGCAAGGAGATAACTCGTGCCTCGCATTCCTCTATCTCTCGCACCGAAAGAGTCTCGATCTAAGCTTGGATCGGATCGTAAGATCAGGACCGGCTACGATCGGCCTAAGATCGAAGTTAGTGGAACGGGTGTAACTTTTAGCTAAGACGATTGTAAAATTGGCGTAACTTGCTAAGATTGAACTTAGATAAGATCGGTTAGTGGAACGGCACCCTGTGGAACAAATACAAATTTGGCAGCTTAAATGACACGTCAATTTCAAACGATGATTATCTTACCTTCATGTAAAATACTTTAATTTCATTGGTCAATGACGCTTTAACAAGTGGAACAAATATTGTAACCGCCAAACTCTCCGCCGAGAAGTTGTATCGCTAACAAAGTATGACGTCATTATATGACGCATGCAGTGCACGGAGTACGAAAACCGTTCGATTAGCTGCTTTTCAGTTCACTGTGCACAGATTTATTTTACCGACTTTTCACTGCTTTATCTAAACTATTTTTATACATTGAGTCGTTTGCACACTCAGCTTAAAAACATAACTAACCATTTTTAGCAGTTTTAGGCTTGTCAGAATATGTTTCACTGATTTTAAAACATCCAGTCGAGAGGCAGACGCCATTTTGTTTACATGTCATATAGTCGGTAGCGATCTTTAAAATAAAATATTTTGTACATCTAACATGGCTGTAAGATAAATACGTTGTATGCTGCTCCGTCGGATAATACGGTCTGATGTACGCCTTTCAGACTCGGGTGGACACTGCTACAAAGAGGCGTACATCAGACCGTATTACCCTCGAGAGAAGCATACAACTTATATACATTTATTTTCTCATATGGATTTAAATTAGCGAAATTCTTTTGATCATCTTTGTTTTAGCACTGGTAATATGAACATATAAAACTGTTCAACACATACCCTTGATAACCGGAATAACACCGGAGTTTCTGAGGCATTAAAACATTTGAAAATTTACTATTTACAAATGTTTCTTCTCCTTTAGGAAACATATATTTTCTAACCCTAATAAACTTAGAAGTGCTTCGGAAAGTTCAGCACCTACTACAATTGAAAGGTATGTATAATACTCCATGATAAACCATTTCCTGAGGTATCAACATTTCAAATCATGCTTGGAAATATCTGCAAAATCCGGTCATAGCATACATGAAAAGGGTGCTTGTGCAATACAGCAACATGCCATGAGCAGCTTCATATGAAATAAAGGCGCAAAGTAAGAAAACGTACGCAAATCCGGTCATGGGACGTTTATCTTCCTGTATTTACGTCTATTTCAATGCTGTAGTATCTGGCTTTTAGTCCCTTGCACCAGCTAGATACAACCAAGATTATTTTTTTATCCATTCGCCTCCATCTTCTCATGCTAAGGTAAAACCTGATGAAGGAGAAAGAACATACTGCCAAATGCCGTGTTCCTCAAAATCAAGAAGCTGACATCCACAAATTCTTGCCTTTGGGTGTATCACTTCTAAATGCTGTTCATGGACCTCTACGGAATACAGTTCATATAATTGTTTTACTTCATATAGAACTATACCTTGCAAAAGAAAGAATATTGGTTAAATAACCACCCCTTTATCACAGTTGCCCGTTAGGCCAGGCATCTCGACAAACGGTTTTCAATGCAACAATCGTGTTGTATATGAACAACAATGAAAGAGAATGACCATCTTTAGGGGAATGATGAAAACGTTGGCAAATCATGGACGATGGAATAAAACTGTACACTTCAAAATGTGTATTCGTTAGACCAGGGCAAATTAATTTTTACGAGTCCTTTCTTCACAAAAGAGCATTTGCATGTTCTGAAGCAATCAGCCAATCGGACCTCTCTCATTGAATCCAATCCCTTTGTTGGGCCCTTCATTTTGATCCAGTACTTGCAGGATATGTTGGGACCTCCCCGTCTGCACAAGCACCTGTTGTTGAAGTGTTAGATATTCCTTCGGTGAGTTATTCCCGAAGACCAAAGGGTGTTTTCTGTTTGCTGCACTCTTGGAAATAATTCATGATAAATAGGTAAACAACCAGGGATGCCGTTGTTCAAAACGACCTTAGTGCTAAGACTACGTCTGTGTTAAGTGTAACACTATTTGATGGCCGGAGGCTGTGTAGACAGGCGGGCTTGGTTGTCATGGAGGTCACGATTCGGTCAGCTGCTGATCACGAGCTTCTAACCATTACTACAAGTACAGGGTCTTGACCAAACAAAGATTTGATGTCCACACTTATATAAGAACTATTGATTGACAGTGCTGTCAGGTGAAGGAGTCGATTGCTTGCTTTGAGATTATAAGTCAACAGTTATTGTTCATTTGGTCTGTTTATGGTCGGGGTCAAAGCCAGTTGAGAAGATGCTATATAAACAACACTGTTAACGAAGTCTTCAGAGAGACGGGCGCAGAACACAGACCAGAAGACAAGACCAGCAGACAAGACCAACAGACAAGACCAGCAGAAAAGACCAGAACACAAGACCAGAAGACATAGCCAGAAGACAAGACCAGCAGACAGGGCCAGCAGACAAGACCTGCAAGAAGACAAGACCAGCAGACAAGATTAACAGACAAGATCAGCGGACGCAGACAAGACCAGCAGACATAACCAGAAGACAAGACCAGCGGACAGGACCAGAAGACAAGACCAGAAGACAAGACCAGCAGAAAAGACCAACAGACAAGATCAGCAGACAAGACCAGCAGAAAAGACCAGAAGACAAGACCAACAGACAAGACCAGAAGACAAGACCAGCAGACAAGACCAACAGACAAGACCAGAAGACAAGACCAACAGACAAGACCAACAGCCGAGGCCAGCAGTGCAGCCCAGAAGACAGGATCAACAGACAAGACCAGCAGACAAGACCAGAAGACAAGACCAGCAGACAAGACCAACAGACAAGACCAACAGCCGAGGCCAGAAGTGCAGACCAGAAGACAAGACCAACAGACAAGACCAGCAGACAAGACCAGAAGACAAGACCAGACAAGACCAGCAGACAAGACCAGAAGGCAAGACCAACAGACAAGATCAGCCGACAAGACCAACAGACAAGACCAGAAGACAAGACCAGCAGACAAGGCCAGAAGACAAGACCAACAGACAAGACCAGAAGACAAGACCAGCAGACAAGACCAGAAGACAAGACCAGCAGACAAGACCAACAGCCGAGGCCAGCAGTGCAGCCCAGAAGAGATGTCTGAAGAACACCTCTGGTTATACCTGGTCAGCGCCTGGGAAACGTCTAGCCTCTCTCACAGTCTACGCCACGCTCTTATTATAGCCACTGACTATTAGAGTTATACCGCTGTAATAAAAGAGGTTGCTGAAACCTTTCATCATCGTTGTGTTATCGTGCTACATAAGGTATGTGAGTTACGGTCACCTTAGCGCTAAGATCGCTTTGAACAACGGCACTCTGAACAATCAGAACAAACTTAACATGTCCTTCATTTCAATAGCAATCATCGAGTTGTCTCCTCTATTTTGGCCTAAATGTGGTAGATCTCAAGATCTGTGTGTATCGGTCTGACACCAGCTGTCAAATCACGAGAGCAGATCTCCAGCTAAGCTTGCCCCATCTTCAAGCAGTCCATCATCTTGAACGGTTTCGGGTACTATAGGGTTGTAAGTAGGTCACGGCAATTCCGAGACCTTTTAGTACTTCCGGTGACAAACAACGTTTCATACCTTTACGAATGGTCTCATGGTTAGCAGTTGACAGTAAGGAACCGATTATCTGTGCAGGAATGACAAATTTACGAACTAACCATCCCCAAATTAGCTAACTATTACGACTGTCAACAGCTGTGACAGCCACGCAAGGTTGTACACTTGGTCCGGTCTAGTAAAATCATATTTGACTGGTTCTTGAATATAAGCTTGTCATCGGAAATCTGGTACCGGAAGTAAGCTAGGCCCCGCCCCGCATATATCGCAAGTAGGCGCAATCAAATTAGAAGGGTCGGTCGGGCGATGAGAAGCACAAAAATAATAATGCTGCCCTTATATAGATGTAAATATCTACGAAGATGATAACATCCACCTAGTTTCGTACGGGAAAAGGGCTTTCTCCAACTTGCACCGACTCTTTGGAACTCTTTACCTTTAGAAATCAAATTATGTGAATCTCTCTCAACCTTCAAGTCAAAAGTTAAAACTCACCTGTTTCAAAGTGCCTATGGCTGACTCTTTTACTCAATTCTTTTCAGCGCATTGAGCATTCATAAGTGTGTGGACATTTGCGCTTTATAAGTGACATTATTATTATTATTATAACTTTGACAGTGGCAACAATACACTTCCATATTCAACATCTCAACTGAACCACGGTCTGTCTTCTGAATTTGAGGGGCTGTGGGATAGACTAGTGGTTAAAGCATTCGTTCGTCACGCCGAAGTTCCGGTTCGATTCCCCATATGGACACAATGTGTGAAGCCAATTTCTGGTGTCCCCGCCGTGATATTGCTGGAATATTGCTAAAAGCGGCGTGAATCCCAACTCACTCACTCTTAATTTGACGCTAAGTTGAAATCGCGTATTAATGATTGAAATACGATCTTTAGCTGACAGTGTGTATTTTAATTGCACTAGAAAGGTTTCCACCTATATGAATAGCACCTCAATTTTGTTGCATGCCAATCTCACAATAACAACATTTATCGAAATACTTTAACTTTTCCAGCATACAGTGAGATCTAAATTCAAACAGAAATCTTTCACATGACGCTGTAGGTAAACTATAAACACCTTGACAGCTTGAGTGTTAATGTGTATATGCATATTGTAATAAATCATAATGAAAATATTGTTTGATATAATAAAATTTATATTAACAATGTATACATCTAACACATCTAATATTGTGAACACAGAATTATTTACTCTTGATTTGGAGACGACCCTCTAATAATCAAGATTAAGCAAGACATATGCA